TTTCAATTTGAATGTGTTCGTTCGCACTATACATTCAAGTATATAAATATGTATACCAGACAAAAATTTAATAATACTACCACCAAGATGTTGTAGGTATTGGCTTCCCCAGTCGTCTACTTTCCAGCAATTAAGTACTAGCTAGGTGAACAGAAAACGTGGATCGCCCACCTCGTCAGCAGTCAAAGAGGTGATACTGAAGCATGATGTTGATATGGATCATGCATCCCTCTCAAAACCTGTTGCAAATTGCTGATAAATCATAAATCAATGATTGACGTTGTAGAAGATGGATCATCATATCTATCTATGTATCCACCTTAAATTTTTCCTATTGGCGGTGCGTGGAATACAATAATAAGTGTGTTGAAAGTGAAATTCGTACTGATCATCGGCCATGAATATCGAGCGACGATGGTCGATAGTGGGAAAGCCGGAAACTGGTGCTGATTTGCTTTGGTGAGATGTGCATGATAACAGCATCGTGAGTGGATGCAACCGTTTGTGTCTGTTGTATTCATTTTTCACTACGCGTAACTTCCATTGCACACGATGTAATTTACTTTGCACACGACGTAATTTTATAATACTTTTTTGTGAACTTCACATATGGCGTGAAAATCGAATTACATGTTGTAATTTGAGCCTCACAAATTTTTGAGGTCACACCGTGACCGTGAACCTTCAGGAACGATTGTCGACCCCATTTCCATCGTGAGTTGAAGTAAAAGGATGAGAATCATTGAGATGATGAATGGAGAATCTTTCCTGCAGCGTCTTTTACAAAGATAAATCCAAACAAAATTTACGATCATTGGCTTAGGAATTCAAGTTTGATCCGAAAGCAAATTTCAACGTAAGGGCTTGCAGGCCGCAGCTGGTTGACAGTACTGATTGTGAAGATGACGATGAACAATTTGAGGCCACCAAAGCACCTCCACTATGAACAGGTTGGACTAACCAGTCAATCAGACCACGACAGCAGTCGTTCATGTGGTGCATTTTGCGTTTGGGAAATCTAAGCCAGATACGTACAACAAGACAGGAGGGATAAATGCAAATTGAATTAATCAACCAAGTTATACGTTCAAGGTCTGCCTGGCCCATGTATTTGTATGTTCCAGAGCAGGAAGCCTTACAAGAGAATCTCATATTCCTGCAGGACTGAAATCAACATGTTTGAATGTACAATCGCCCAAATCCCCATCTCGATTGATCTGGCACCTTCGCAATTATTGTTAAGTGACAATCACACCATGCGATGTAAGCCATGACATAATAAATATAAACACGAGTACGATCATATTATCAGAAATATTCGAAATTGTCAATTTCCTATCATGAAATCGTTCCTGCAATCGCACTAACAATGATTGAAGAGAATCGGGATCCCACGTCCATGTGTTTCCAGCTAGCTAGAAGTTACCTGTTTGTTTTTCTTAGCGTTCCCATTTTGGTGGCTTTAGTCCAATATTAGAACCCTGGCTCCTTGAGGACTCTCTAGCACCACATTTGTGTTGTCCTGTTCCAATGAAGTGTACAATACCTTAAAAAGATTTTGGAAGGAAGTGATTTTTGTCTTCAAATTGTTTTTCTTTTCTTTTTTTCCGTGTGTGCTTGTGTTTTCATTAGACAATCATAAATCTTATCCTAATTTCCAGAGTTAGTAAAATATTATTGTCACCTCTCTCCTCTTCTAATCTTTTTTTTTTAACACAGGAATTATCTCAATTTTACCAGACTAATCTCTTTGCGCCTGTGCACCCCGCCCCCCAAGAATACGTAAGCGTTAGAAAGTTAACTCAAACACACGACATTCGGTACCTAATTAGATTATCCCGAAACCATTCCAGCCAACCCCAATGGGCTATCCCTTTCTTCTAATCACTTATCTGTTTTAGCATCATCCTTGATTCTGCATTAACGCACTATTCTAAAAAACGGAATATGGGATACTGTATTTTCTTTGGTGCTGAGATTTTGCCCGACAGTTGGCATCTTTATCCTGTCATTCTTTTAAGCTTGATGATGAAATAGTTCCCACTTCCCATACGAATATATGGTACAATACAAGTCTTCATTCCTGAGAAGACAAAAGTATGCAATTTATTCTTCAAAATTTCATTCAAGACTCTTGGACTAGTTAATTTACAGAAAGGCATATCATATTTATTGCGGTTGATAATGATCTAACATAGCCAAAAACAAAAATAAAGTAAAACAACGGATATAGATACATAACAGGTGATTAACCATAGGCAATTAAGTGGTATATTAGCCAAAACCCGGAACTGACAAGGCTTCACTCTTTGACTACTGCATTAAGTTCAATGCTAAAATCAGGCTTTTCCTCATCATCTTCATCAACCCGTACTCTGCTCTTGTATCTGTAATTAGGAGCAACATATAGAAAATACGTCAAGTTCAAGACTCCCAAGCCGGCTATAACAAAGTAGAAATTTTCAAGTCTTCCGGCGTTAATATTCTTAGCCAACCAATCCGGATGCCCGCGTCCCCCCGTGGTGTTATGAATAATGTTAACAATAATTGCACTTAGGTAATTAGCTCCCGCAAAGGTAATCGACATGATAGAATTCGCGACGCTAGTCATGTTCTCAGGAAATTCTTTGTTGTACAATTCGATCTGTCCGATAATGTTGAATGCCTCGGCAAATCCCATGAGAATTAACTGCGGGGCAAGCCACATTACTGTAATTGGCGCGCTCCCATCAGGGCCTCCATGCTTGATGGCCTCAGCCCTTCTCTTCCGTTCGACGAATCCAGCAACAGCCATTGATAGAATGGAGAAAACCATGCCAACTCCAAGTCTTTGGAGGAGGGTAATTCCACCTTCGACTTTTGTGATTCTTCTTAGCCGTGGGACGACAATTCTGTCGTACACCGGAAGCCATATTCCAATGGTGACCATGGAAATTACAGCGAGGGAACCAGGGGGGATTTGGAACTTGGGGCCTAGACGACGGTCCATTTTTAATGCTTGTGACAAAGTGAAGGTCCCCTGCTGGGCCATGGCTAACAAGCAGATGATTCCAGACGCCCATACTGGGATGATTCTCAAGATGCACTTCAGTTCTTCAATTTGTTGGATGCTGCTTAAGTTCCACTTGTCGGCTCTTGATCCATCAGCCTTCAGATCACCTTCGGTTATCATTGCTGCTTTGTTTAAGAACCTGGGATGAACAAACGTTGTCGTTAGATGATCCATTAATCTTCAAGTGGGAAATAAAGGGGAGAATGGACCAAAAATAGGGGCAAAAATATATTTCATCGTTTGAAGGGTTGTGCATTAGAGCATTAATAATTATCTGTCATATTGACATTTTACACTGTGAGTGTGCATGTCTGACGAAGCACCGTGGCACTAAATATCAGTATGGCCATTGGCCAGAGGGAAGAAAAAGGAGTGACAATCACAAACGTGCTCTTTAATGGACATTTCATAATGGAAGGTCCACTTGCGTCAGGATCTGATATGACCGATTCTACCATTCTCCACCGAGAGAGAGCGATATGACTTCTACCCAAAATTTGATAAAACCAAATCATCACCTTGAAAGGACAGAGGACGTAACATGTGGATTATCTGGAAAACATATTTGCTTTTCTCACATCCGGACCTTGAAAGGAAGTAGGAGTTTCTCTTCTTTTGCTAATGGGGTTTGGAAGCTAAAGAAAGATTGGGTGAGAATTCTTGCGCACCTCAGCTGTTTGCTAATGGACGTAACACTTTAGTTATTAGAGGGAAAAGGACCAAAAGAGTAGAACAAATATTTTTTTTTTTTTAAAAAAAAAAAGAAAGAAAGAGAGGCATTAGCATTGTTCAAAAACAAAAATGTGTGGACACACCTTCTAGAAGAAATAGAAACAGTACCGGTGACCGTGTTTGGATAGAGTATTATTTAAAATAATTACTATAATATTTTTTGTAATGATATGTAATGTATGTGAAATAAAAGAAAAATAGTTAAAAATATAAAAAAAAATAAATTAATAAATATTATTTATGATACAAATAAAATATTATTTAAAAAATAATTTAGCAATCCAAACACGCTCGTTCATTCCGAGTCACACAAGACCATTTCAAGAAAAAACACGGGACAGCCAAAAAAAGCGAAAATGGGTGATAGTGATGGATAATGAAATGTTGCCAGCCACTTCAGTACTGCAAATATTAAATAACCTATATTATTATCTGCCATCACTTGGTACTCTTCTACAAGCGTGCGCTGTCAGTTGAACTTTTAACACACAGCAGGTACGTGTTAGTTGATCTTTCAACATAGCCCTTCTTAACAAGTAATAATAATCAATTGAGCGCAAGTATATATGATTTTACCAATCATAAAGGAAAAAAGAAAACATTATGATGCTTGTGAGAAAGAGACGCGTGCATACCTGAATTGATTGGTTAGGGGTAATTTCTTCACAATCGTTTGGCTCAATGGTGGGTCGTAATAGACACCATCATTAATTTCTTCACGACCATTGTCAGGAAGCTTCAGCTTAAGCTTTCGCTTTCTGTAAGCAGCGACCAACCCCTCGGCAATGCCGGAAAATACACTTCCCTCCGGCTTCCTATGGATGTATATTTTCGTCCCAATAAAGAAGAGGATAATTGCCACGACCATGAGAATTGTGGGAATTGCAAAGCCCAAAACCCAACTTACGTTACTTTGGACGTATACCACCACGGTTAAGGATATTATTAACACCATGGTAAAAGTGGTATAATACCAATTGAAAAAACTGTTGATTCCTTTCCTTCCTTCCTCAGTTCTTGCATCAAATTGGTCCACACCAAATGGAATACTGCACGGCCGGATCCCAGCCGAGCCTATGGACAAAAGTCCTAGTGCTAGGGCCAAGAATCCCATCTGGGATACTGTAGGTCCTCTGCATGAACTTGGATCATGGCATGGCGGTGGGTGCAGTTGAGGAAGCCACGGGATCAGTGTCATTGCCACCATTCCCTGCGAGTCACACGATTAATTTAGATTCAGTTTACATGGGATCAATTCATTATAAATTGCTAACCTAAGCATCTTCTAAAACATATCATTTCCTTTATTTAATAAGCAATTGTAGTTGCATCGCATCATGCATGTTACTAATGAGAACTTATTCAATGTAGAGTGTCAACTCACAGTACTAGAAGGATTTTTCTAACAGATACCCCGTCAAAATTAGTATATCAAAATGATTGTTTTTTAATAGGTGCTCACGTCAAATTTTGTTAAGAATTTTTGTAATTAGATCCAAATTATATTTAACTTATCATATGAATACAGGCACACAATTAAGTTGTGTTAAAATTATAATATCTACGCGGGGGGGTAGGGTTTGGGGTTGTCCAAAAAAATTAGAGGGTTGACATTATTGAAGAGTAGCCAATTCAAGAAATTAAATAATAAGCATGCGCCACCACTATTATATCACGTGCTAGCGGGGCCCACTGTTTTACGGCCAGTGAATACTTACTAGTAGTAATTGAATATACTACCTATAAATAAATAGCATCTGCTTTGCCTGATATCCGATCACTTTAACCAAATTCTATTAGCTGCAGCATCGTCTGCCGAACGCCCTGGCACACACATAATTCTGGTCCTAGGATATGACGACAATACCCAAAACAGCGGCATATATCGGAGCACAACAAGGCCAGCCGGCCGCCCGCCCGCCACGGCACATACGTGAAGTGGTTGGATATCTCATTATTTTAAATAATATTTCGCTTACATTATAAATATATTTTTTAATTCATTTTTTTATATTTCTAATCACATTTTTATGCCACATATATCACGTCACAAAAAGTGCTACAGTAATTATTCTAATCAATATTTCAAATAATAGCTTATGATATCAGTAGAAGATGAAAAATCAAATCTGATGCTGGAAAAAGTACTGACTAATTTGTTTGCAGTTCATAATATAAAATTAGCCATAATATCTTTGGTTAAGAACCTCATCGATCATATGTAATTGCTAATTGTGTTTTTTTTTTAAAAAAAAAAATTGTAGGAGCATTTATTATAGTAGTAAAGAGTTCAGTACTAATGCAGGTATGAGTTACATGACATCATCCACACAAAGGAATTAATACACGTACCAGCAGAACGAAGAAGGAAGCGAAAGCAATGGTCAAAAATCTGCCGATGTAGGCATCACAAAGATACGCACCAACCAGGGGTAAGAAACTTGTTGCCCCCGACCATATGTTGATTACGTTTGAAGCTGAAACTTGGTCCATGTGAAATTGTGTTAACAAGAACACTGTAAAATTTGCCAACAATCCTACGTTTGCCAGCCTCTCAAACGTCTCATTTCCTGCATATATAAGCCGCCGCTTCATTAGTTATCATCAAAATTAAGCTCACAAATTTAATATTTATTGTTTCCACAGGATTAATTAACCAAAAAATAAAAATAAAAAAAATGATATGATGTTCCAATCTTTATACTCATGGGAAGTGTAAAAACTGTAAGCTGCAGGTTTAAATTGCTAAATCATAATTATTGGACGATTCATCTTATTGTGCGGCGGGTGATGTAAATGTGAAGTTACTGTGGTAAAAAAAAAAAAAAAAAGTTCACTATCAGTGTAGCTCATGCATAAAGCTTGAACAGTTAGGTGAAGGCGATTTAAAGACACAACTAGACGCATTTTTTTTTTTTTTCAAACTTCATGCATATTTGAAGAAGTAGAAGTAGAAGTAGGCGATCGACAAAGTGTTGTTTTGTGCAATCGTGCAGGTCAATTCAAGAAACAAAACTTGACAATTAGCTTCATCTCAAATGGATCCTTGTAGAAGCCCACACCAATCTCACGAATGGTCAGAATATGCACGCACGTAAATGGGATAGGCGAGGCGAGCCTATCCATCACTACGTGTACAGTGTGAAACAGAAAGCCAAAAAAAAACAGATCGGAGCGACCTAAAACAAATGGCATGGCCTTCCATCCTCCGGGTTTTCTCTGGGTAGTTTTTGGCGAAGACAAATCTTGCTTTTCCTCATCATTTTCGTTTCCCAGCGAGGGTGATACCGACTTTGAAGAAGGGATGGGCAAGGGAAAGCCTTTACCACAACAAACAAGCCAAGAAGAGCCAAGCTTCTTGTCTTCCTGTGACTCCATGTTTGATGGGTAAAGCTTTTTAGCTCTTTCTTAGAGCTTTTCAATTCTCCCCACGCCTCTATTTATAGAAAGTTTTCTCTCTCTTTGACACTACAAGATGGGCATGGAATTCTGTTTCAAGCTAGCTGGGAAGAAACAAAAGTTTGTGATATGGGGATGATTAGTTGGGTGACGTACGTTTGCTTAGTTTTGGATGGAAAGATGGCCGTATGTGGTCACAGCCGCACAGGACAATGACAAGACTCATCACTCCACGTCGCATTTCATTTCCCTTGTTTTATGAATTTAGCGTACGAAATTAAGCTTCGATTCAATTCTTCCCAGAGAATACTGTAGATCAATGATGAAATTTCTTTTTTGACTTTTAATCTGTTAATCTTTCGAGCCAGCTCCAACATTATGACTAATTCACCCTCTCAATGATTAAGTAACCCATAAGCCAAAGTATCCACAAATGTAAAAGATAAGATTGCTGTTTACACGGCAAGGCGAAACTAGAAGAAAGTTCAATCTGTTTTAGCTTGATGCTTACAAATCGTCCCAACGATCAATAATATATTAAGGTCCCCAACTCTTTACTTAGAGAAGACAGAGACAGATTAAACTAAGGTGCAAAGGTTGGAAAAATAAACGCCAACGTACGGTCGACTTAAATGCAGGGCGATGGTGATATATTGCACTGAATTGCGGTGTTGTTAAAATCGAAGGCCAATTATTACTTCTTTCTTACCATACGAAGTCGAGTCGAAAGCTAGGCCTCACAATTTTGGTGTTGTCATTCATGTAATGTTTGGATCGATACAGTTCGCCATCATTTATTTGAGATGCCGTTGTCACGTTCGTTCCCATCATTTTATCATCATTATTTTGAGAAGTTCACTGGAAAATTTGTTAGTTGATTTGATAATTCAATTTATTTACGTTGAGAAGGAAAATGGTCTCCGACTAGTAGATATCGTCTGTACGAAGAAAATGAAGGAAGAAAGAAGCGAGAGAGAGAGAGGGGACGAAATGTTTAATTAATATTACTTTGAGATGATAGCAATAGCTCAGTCATTAAATGGATAGCACCAGTTCACCTGTAAAATTTTAGTGGGGATTATTGCTATCTATAAACACCAAATAGAAAGTATGAGCTACAAGCCAGAAACTTACAGCAGCAGTCTCACGATGAGATACAAGCGGAAGCAGACATGAGCTTGAAGCTTGTAAGGGGAGCAGTCGCATTCACAGTGGTGGGATAATACCTACAAATTACAACTCGACAGATTAACTCAAAAATGGTGGAACTTACAGCTCAATAAACTCGCAGAATAATACAAGAAAAAACTCGATCTTATGATGAAACTAAGCTTTTAATTCCTGAAATTTTAATCTTAACTATTACACCACACCTCATCCGCAAATCACAACGTATTCTAATTGGACTATTAAACAAATGCTAGCTTAACCAAATACGATCGAACCATCGGAACGCTACAGAGTCATGCAGCATTTGGACCATCACATAAAGTGTTTTAGAGGAAATTTTTGAGTTACCTCCTCTAGCTAGTCTTTGTCATGATCAATTGCTCAAGAAAAGGGGTGTTTGTCATAATTAGTTAAAATGTGATTCAGGCCATGTAAATACTGCGGCAAAAATTGCTGTAAATAAAAAGAAGCTGTGAATGTAAAATTTACCCTATTTCCAACCCAATAGGCATTAATTGGCATTGTAAGAAAATAAATAAATACATGCATCAGGGTTCAGACCCTCGCCTCAATAGTGTTAAATAACTAGACAGTCTCATCCCTAAACTCAGCCGTCAACAATGGATTCAAGAATCCTACCTTCGTATTGACCATTGTTTTTCTCTATATAGTACATATAGTATATACCTCTTGCAAGAAGCATCAAAAATTGGAGTCTTGGACATTTAATATCGTCTAAGTGCTTCTGTTCAGATTCGCCTGCAGCCTCTTAGTTAGTGAAGGTTCTAGTTAATATGACTGATGACAAGTGCAGCCCTGGACCAAAGTTTAGTCGGGGACAGGTCTTATAACCATTGAAGCATGCTTTTTAGGTTTTATATGTTGTTTATGTACCGACCTTCCTTCTATAGGTAAGATATTTCAGCCAGAGTTCAATTTGAATACAAATTTTGCACTGCCCTGCAACAAAACCAAGTGGCCAACAGGCTATAGCCTATGCTTTTCAACGAGCAGGAGACTACTTAAGAAGAAAATTCTCCCGGCAATTGGCATTGGGGCGTATACGTGATTGGTTTAGGCAGATACAGTATCCCATCGATCTCCCCACCGCCCCACTATGATTTGCCCCTAGGGTTTTGATTCGCGTTGCAAGGACTTGAAAACTACTTTTCATGATTGTATTGCTCACTTCCTATTAAATCTGACATTTTTCTTCCTTATCTACAGAGATTACGTGTCCTCAATTTTGAAATCTAACTTGACATGTGTCTGGGATACAAAAAATGGTCCATAAGGAAACCCAAAAAAAAAAAAAAACCCCTTTTTGATGTTAGTAAGAGTTGTGACCACGAGGCCAAGCAGTGTCACAATAATTGTTTGCAGTTTTTTTTTTTTTTTTTTTTTTTTGTAAGAAGAGATTCTAAACCTTACGAAATACTAAGAAGAAGAAAAAAAAAAATAGTGTGATTTTAAAGCGGAACCAGGAGCTCATACAGTTCGTCACCTAACTAATGTATTGTGATTTCATTGTAGAAGAACGTCAGCTACATCATTGAACAGCATCATTCATGTACTTGTTGTTTCATTATTCATGTGAAAGACTAAATTAAACCATGTGATTCTTCACGTCAAGCGTTAATATATAATGAACTCAAATTATAATCCATCCTGCCATGGCCCGTATAGGTTTCTTGTAAATCAAAACCACCCAAATGTTTTTCACCCTTTTTCCTTTTCTTACAGAAGTAAGAAATTATTTAATTAAACCTAATCCCAAATTTAATCTCAAAAGTCGATAACTTCTGAGGTAAATTTGAAGATTAAACTCCCACGAACCACGTGGAATAGACAGAATAGGGAAGCCTGTAAAGCTGCTGATGCTAAAGGATAAACCCCCCCCCCCCCCCCCAACAAACCTCATAAAATGAGCAGAAAAGACCTGGTGCAGCACGTCAGCGTGCCCCCCTTCTCTCTCTGGTATTTCTTGCTACAATCTTCCAACTAGGAAGAAGCACTACTATTATATTATTTTTAAAAACAAATTGGAGCCCTGCTGTTAATTGGTGAATCCTGCCGGTCCAGGCTTAGACAGAATTATTGGTTCATTGGAAAAGGGGCGTGCCCAAATTAAATGTTTGGCATTGACTGGCGTGCCTTGGTTTTTGGGATTTTTATGATTACAGATAACGTTAAATATATACTATATATAAGCATATCACCGGGCAAACACTAAAAGAGCATGTCATGTTGTTCTTTTATCTTGCAGGGGTGCAGAACAGTACGGGGAGCATTTACGATTCTAGGGGCCTTTGGCTGCCTCGGTATGTAAACTTGTATATTTTACTTTTAGTAGCTCTAACATATTTGCTATCTTTCCTACCAAAAAAAAAAAAAAAAACCCTAGAGACATCTATATCCAGTATTGCCATGTTCTCGTGTTTGCCTCTGCAAAGAGTTTTTTTTTTTTGGTCTGGGAGCTATTATCTAGTAGTACTACTTCATATAAGCTGATAAGCAGTTTACCACTTTTAGGCATGGAAACCAACATGGTGCTCATGACAAGGAAATTGTGCATTCGGGTATTTTTTGTAGACTAAATAGACTGCGTGGGCATCATACCCCAACAATACAACTGATTTTGGAGCATTAAAACTTCAAAGTGTACAACAGGCCTGAAACAAACCAGCGGGCCTCAAAATGGCAACAATCATACTGAGCCTCAAAATGCCCCACTAGCGGGCCGTCCGATTCTCTTTTTGGGCTAAAGAGGAAGTCCAACAAGCGAGTGAGCCTGAACCAGATATTGCCTATTCTTCGTCTGAATGCTCTCCAGGAGTCCACTTAAAATAAATAAAAGAAAACTTTCCTAGAGAAAGAACTAGGGCTGAAAACAACACTCAACGAGTCGGACAAGAGTATATTCAGAATTGATTTGAAGATTAAAATGAATGTTTGAACTTGATAATTTTTTGAAGAACATTGATCGAGTTTGGGTCGAAAATT